TTTAAAATTCTTCAATTCAATAATGAAGCTTACATACCCAAAATAATAATCCAAAGGATGCAATTAGTGAAAGTATGGGACAGAAAACGCCAAATGCTGCTTCCCATGGTTTACTGGTTACTGGATCTTGTTTCAGTGATGTTATTACCGTAAATAATAATACCGCAATAAATGATACAGTAATGAAAGGTAATGCTTGTAAACCTGAAATTATTTGCTTTTTTGTTAAAATGATATGACAAAAGGAACAAAAAAAAAATATGAATGGAATTATAATTGATTTCATATAATGTCAAAATGTGAAATCAATTATAATTACATTTATAATTTTCTAAGAAAACTTTTTCTCTTATTTTTTGAAATTTTTGAAATTTAAAAAATTTTTTTGAGAACCAAAATTTTTATTTTTTATTTTTTTGAATTTGCCGAATTTACATTGCCAATTAGAGTTAAACTCAGAGCAATTCTCCTTTCCCAAATGAAAAAAAAAAAAAAAAACTCTGAAATGTAAACCTGTTCGACGAACTTCTCTGCTCACTAAGCCTTCAGATGTAGCATAAACTCGGATCAATGAATCATTTTTAGTACTTTCGGAAAATATGAACACCTTCTGCTCCCAAAGTTTCATTATTTCCACACTTGAAGCATTTTTTTGAATTGCTTGAAAATTAATCGCAATCAATCGACAACTTTCGATTATATGGGATCTTTAAATTGAATTATTAGATAATTGATTGCAATGATAAGGTGTTGATCAGCTGTTATGATATTGAAAATTTTAATGAAATAGGAAAGTTAGAGTATGATAATGATAATCAAATTTGTTTATACAATTTAGTGAGAATTTTAATGTAATTTTCTCAATAATAATTAGCAATTTAATATTGTAAATTAGAATGCTTTTTATTTTTAACTTTCGTACTTTACATGAACACGATCTCTGATTATCGTAACTTTAGATTCATGTAAGTAATTTTTTTAACCAGAAAAAAGGTTTCTTTTTTAATGTAAAATTGATAAGAAGAGATTTTTTTCATTAAATTGAAAGTTTTCAATTGGGGTCATTCCTAATTGAAAATACCACTTCAATTGCCACATCCTCAGACTGAATATTTGGAAATTTAAAAATTTTGATTTTTTAATTTAAAAAATAGGAATTAATAACGATAATACAGTATCAATAATGACGATGATACTTAACTTCTTACTAATATCAATGATTATCATTATAATTACTACAGTTTTAAATGATTTTGATACTATTGATTATTTTCAAATAACTAAACAACTAACTTATTGTTGAGTTGTACTTGAAAAATATTATTGGCAAGATATATTCGATTACCAAATACATCCATTGATGGATACGTCAATTTGACATTTCCTTTCTTCCTAAAATAATAAATTTAAAATTTTAATTAAAATTATTTACGATCCCTATCACAATGAAATTCATTCATCACATTAAATCGAATGTAAAATGTGAATTAAATCCAACCTGATATGAACTTCTCTGTACATGTTCAGAAAAATGCTCACAACATCACTCGTTTCACAGTTCGATTCGCAAAAATCCGAATAAGTAATCTGTCGTCCGTTGTATGGAACGCTAAGTTTTGATTGTAAATAATCTTCGATTTCAATCACTTTATCCAAATATCTTCAAATATTACTCACTGATTTTTACAAATGATTACTGCGATAGTAAAATAATATTAAAATTTTAAGAAAAAAAAAATGAGTGAACAAAATTATCTTACTTATTGCTTTTACTAAACTTCAATTTTTGATTTCGATCCAAATAATAAAGAATGGAAATTGAAAATTTTATTTTATAAAAGATTTGAGAACAAATGATTATTGGTTGTGAAAGAAAGTATGGATGAGATAAATTAGCTCATTGACAGATGAAAGATTTCTAATTGGGAAACATTTGATGATTAATCGTTCAATCAATAATCTATTATGATCATTTCTAACAACATGCCAAAAATGATCATACTAAATCATATACCATATTTAATTTTCAATTTTATACTTTCCATACGGTTATGATTTTGATCTGCTGCTCATTAAAGTATGGCTTTCATCTTGATAAAATGCAAAAATTTACTTAGGTCTTAAAAGTGATCCATCATCAGCAGCTTTCATAGCTACCACCACATGAAAGGGTGATCCAAAATTTCGGAAAAAATCTTCAGTAACCGCATATTCATACCGTGATGGTGAATCATCCGCACTAAAGTCTTCACGAACATTATTATGTTCATGAAAATTCACCGCACCTATTGCTAACAAAGCTGTCAACAATAATCTAAAATAAAACATTCGGTAAGCAGAAATCACATAAAATATGACGTTTTATAAATTCATGCTTCATCAAATAAATCAATTAAGGCTTGAAAATTAATTGTTCGATGTAAAAGTGACATTTTATCAGCAATATTTTTCAATTTCAGCAATATTTCAATCATGTGAATTTAGGCCAGAAAATATTTTCGATCTATTTTTTAACACAGTGTTTAGCAACAGTATAAATAAAAATTTTCAAAAAAAAAAAAACAAACAATTTTTTACAGAATCAATTATCCTTCACGGATAATGTGATGCTAATACTTTATGATACTGAATAAAAGATGGGTTAAATTAAAATAAATGGAAGATGAAGAAAGACAATTAAAATTATCATTTATTCTAAATTTGAATTTTTATTTTAGTGAAATTTTTTATATTAGTCTCATTTTTTGTAATCAAATAAAAACGAACAAAAAAGCTCTTTGTGGGATACTGTAATTCACTGTTGACTTATTTTCTTGTGCTATTTCTTGCTATTTTATCCATCCAATAATAATTTTTCTTTCATAACTTATTCAATAAATTGCTTCTCTAATAACAAAGACATAATACAATACTAATTTCTGTAATAAAATACGGTCATAGATTACGATCAAAACTTATATCGTAATTAATTTACATTTCTTTTCGTCCAATTATATTCTCTTATTTATCTGTAAATTGATTGACAGATTAGAAAAGGAAATTTTATTGAGAAATATGTTTCAAAAATTTATTTATAAAATTAACATCTTTCTTGTTTCTTTTTTTTCTCGACAATTCATTGATTTACTTACACATATTTTTTTAGCAAATCAAATATTAGCAACAAAATGTGTTAATTATAATGAATCTAAAACCATAATATTCCCTTTTTTTTCGTTTTTGATTTCATGAAATTTTCATCGTTGCAATGTTGAATATTATGGTACCATCAATTTAGGCTTTTTCAAATTATTGAGCACAAATTGATGATGATAATCTGGTTTTAAGTTGTTATCGGTATGTAAGAGCTTTGCAAGTAATCTATATAGACGTTGAAGAAAAAAAAAGAAAGCAAGAAACTAGTTGTAAGAAGATTGACAATATTTTTAAAGTTAAAACATATATCATAATTTTCTCGTGCATTATCAAATCTCATTCCCAAAATACCTGTTTTTTTTTTCTCGCTTTTTTTTTCTTTTAGTTGTACAAAATAATTCAATAATTATTTTAATTTGATATGTTATAATTACAAATCATTTTTCATCAAATCAAATCATTTCTCGTCTGAATTTTAACAAACAGAATAATACGACTAATCGTTTACGATTTAAGGACATTAGAAATTCTGAAAGATGATGTCAAATTTAATATGTTTAATTTTTACTCATAAATTAAAATATACTTGATTGAATAAGATCAATTTATTAAATTATTCTGGAGAACAGTAAAGCAATTATTATTGTTATATGATTTGTAATGTATTAAATTGCACCAAAAAAATGGAGTAAATTTTTAATTTTTTTTAAAAGTGTTTTTATAATGCGCAAAAATTTATGATATTTGGTAATTTTCATTGCAAATAAAAACTTACATTGAAAATAAGAAAATTTTAGGTTTTTGTGCGATGCATAATCCTGTT